TAAAAGCCTCTAGATATAGTACTTACTACCTCTATATTTACTATATAAATATTACTATTATAGTTCTACTTCTAAGACGCTATAAGTATAGAGTAATAGAGCTAGAATCTCTAGATAGACTTTATTTCTACTATCTTAAGGTTAACTATAATAGTCTTATATGTAAGAACTACAGCGTTATAGTTAGTGCGTAATACGCTCTAGTTTATAGAGACCTCTTTTATATAATTATTTAAAGTATTATAAAGCTAGTCTAGCTTATACTTATTAGTCTAGTAGAGCCTACTTATCTACGCTAGAGTCTAGCTAAAGGTAATAAAGAATTCTATAAAGAACTAACGCTTTCTCTAGCGTAAGTAGTCTAAGTATACTAGAGTCTACTTCTTACTATAGATATTACTATAGTAGAATAATAAGTAGTTAAGAAACTCTAGTAAATTCTAGATACTATACCTACCTATCTTAAAGTATAAAGTAACCTACTACTAGACTATAGGTAATAGTTTAGCGTTAATAAATATAAACTATAACTTCTTATTTTCTAGAAACTCTTAGTCTATTACTAGCTTATACTTAATTATTACTTTCTAAGCTTAGAAGTACGCTTTATTACTTTTAAAGCGCTCTTTTATTTAAAGAGGCCTATACTTATCTATATATATAGATAGAGAAGAAGAAGAAAATAGAAAGTTTATACTAGCGCTAAAACTACTAATAGATACTTCTATAGTAGAAGTAGCGTTTCTTTTTTATAAAGTATTACTAGAAAGAAGTATAGTATTAAACTACGTACTTAAGGCTTTAAGGCGTTAGGTAAGGTATTTATTCTAAACCTAAAGTATCTAGAATAAAGTATAGTCTTCTACGTAGTCTTAGGTTAGTTATTATAGTTAGTTTAGAATTACTTATAGAGTTATATTTTTAGCTATTTTTATTTCTTAAGTCTAGCTAGTCTATCTTTAAACTTATATATAGTACGTAAGAAAAAAGCTTTATAAATATTATAAACTAGCCTTAGAGTTAGAATATACTAAGTATTAATAGAATATTATAAGGCTTAGAACTTAAGAGGCTACGTACAGAATCTAGAGGTTTATGTAGTAAGTCTAGACCTTACCTATACCTTCTCTATTCTAGTCTAGGCTTAGGTAAAGCCTAAAACTATTATAAAAGCTAGAGAGTAGTAATCTTTAGCTTAGAGTAAAGAAGTAAAGTGCTAGAGTAGCTAGCCTATAAGGTATTCTTATCTAGAAATAGAGAAGAAGAGTAGAAAAGTTTAGAATCTAGAACTTTAGTAGGTAAATCTAGTAACTTAATTATATAACTCTAAATATTCTAAGCTATATTAATACTAGAGTTAACGTAGTAGAGTAGAGTAGCTAAAGAGAGTAGCTTTCTAAAAGCTATTTCTAAAGATAGAAACTTATTAAAGAGCGCTTAGCTAGTAGTATTAAAGCTAGAAAGCTCTCTAATAGACTTAATAAAAGAGAGTTAACTAAAATAAGCTTAACTAGTAGTGTTAAGTCTATAAAAAAGGTTATAGCTCTTAGACTAAGACTTCTTAGTAATCTTAATAATAAGCTAAAACTTCTTAGTAACTTTAGTAATAGGCTAAAGCTTCTTAGTAACCTTAATAGTAGGCTATTTAGTATTTATAGAGTTTTTAGAGTTAAAAGTAGAAAGAGCTAAGTAGAAAACTATAAAGGCTTTACGTAACTAGCTATAGAACTAAGAGTAGATCTTAGTATAGATATAATTTTTAAAAAAAGAGCTATTAAAGAATATCTAGCGCTACGTAGAAATACTATAGCTACGCTAGAACTTATCTTTATTACTAGTATTAGCTATTATATATAGTACCTTTTAAGAAAAGTAGAAAAATTAGTAGTAACTTTATAAGAAATAACTTAGAATAGAGTTAAAGTTAGTTAAGAGTTCTATCTAAGTATATAGGTAGAGAGAAGTAAGTTTTAATTACGTAGGTTCTTAAACTACAAAAGTAAAGTAGCCTAAAGTAGTAGTAGATAAGTACTTATCTATATAATAAGTAAAATTTCTAAAATTTACTAGCTTACTAAACTTAAAAGTTTATAGCTAGAAATAGAGCGTACGTATATAAGCGCGTAAAGGTAGATAGATAAGTAAAGTAAAGACTATAGCTCTAGACTATTAGGTAGTAAAGGCTATTCTATAGTAAGAGAGCTATTCTTTTCTACTTAATAGCGTACTAAAATAGAGTCTAAATTTAACCTACGCTAGTAGTAATTAAAGCGCTAAAATTTTAGTGCGCTTTTCTACTATTTAAAAGCGCTAAACTTAGTAAAGAGCTAGTAACTAAAGCTATAATTTTATATAATAACTAAGAATAAGTAAAGGCTACTTATTTTTATTAAGACTAGAAGCCTATAGTAAGTAAAAATACTTATAAGGTCTACTATTATATAAGATAAACTTTACGCGTAGAGAAGTAGGCTAGTTAGAAGATAGCTTATATTTAGAGTTAAAAATAGTAGATATAGAATCTAAGAGAAAAAGAGTCTAGCTAGATCTATATAAAAAGAGAGAAAGAAAGCTAGTAGAAGCTAGTACTAGATAGTACTAGCTTATAGTAGTAAATATCTCTTTTAAAAAGTCTAGTAGCTTTAGTAGAGTCTAGTAGCTTTAGTAGAGTCTAGTAGCTTTAGTAAAGTCTAGTAGCTTTAGAGATAGAGATATTTAAAGTTAAAGTAAGAAGATAGCTCTAAGTAAACCTATAAGGTTTATAGAGGCTATATTCTTATAATTATAAAGCTAGTCTATAACTTACTTACTAAAGTTATTTATATTAGTAATAGTAGACGTAGTTATACTATAGTATATACTATTACTAGTAGAGTAGTCTTAATCTACTTAGATTATAAATAATTTAATATTAGTCTTACTATTATTAGTAGTATTATTATACTACTATAGCTTAATCTAGTTATAAGGTTTATTTTTATTATTATAGAAAAGAATATATACTTTATATAAGTTATTCTATAAAGCTTTTACTATAATATTACTAATTTTAATATAGATATATTTAATATCTAAAGTTTAGAGTTCTTTATAACTACTATTTAAATCTACTAGCTAGAGAAGTTATAAGTAGTATATAAGAAAAGAGCTCTTATATTATTAGTTAGATATTACTAATAGAGGTAGAAATAAAACGCTCTTATATTACTAGTTAAATACTAGTAGAAATAAAAACTATATAAATTCTTAAGTATCTTCTATAATAGTCTATAATTAACTAGTATTTTTACTAAAGCTAGAGTTCTAGCTAAAGCTTATAAAGAATACACTAAGTATATTAAAGCTATAACTTAATATAGTAGTAATATAGAATTATAAATATATATTATAAAAACGTAGTTAGTTACACTAAGAGCGTATACTACGTCTACTTACTCTAGTATTTACTACTTTCTTATTTACTAGTAGAATAAGCTAATTCTTTTCTAATTTTATAATTCTCTATTATTTATATAACTAAGTCTAACACTTCTATAGTATTTTTTATTAATAAGTCTAACTATTATAGTAATAAGTATTTAGCTAGCTCTAAATAGACTTTTTTTATCTTTATAGCTCTATACTTTAGTACACTCTTAGTAACTACTTAGTAAGCTAGCTTATAAGTTCTACTCTATAGTTATATAATAGAGCTTTATAGACTATTAGCTACTACTAGTATAATATCTTTAATAGTGTTATTTCTAAAAGAGTATAAGTATTTAATTTATTTAGTAAGTATAATAGTAATTACTATAATAGCGTTAGAGCTTTTTTAGCTTATTTAAATTAAGTATAGTTATTATAACTAATTATAATATAACTTAATAGAGTAGAGTATAGAGTCTAGGTATAGATTTATTAAATATAGTATAGTATAATAAGTAGAAATATAGATTAAGATTATATTACTTATAAAATACTATATTATTAAGTAAATAGTAATCTTAGGCTAAAGTTTTAATATTTCTATATAGGCTACGCGCTAGTGCAGCGCTAGGCCTAATTAGAATAAGAGTTCTAGATTTAATCTATAATATATTAAAGCTATTTATAAGATTAATATTTAATAAAAAATTAATTAAGTTATAAAGTTAAAGAAGTAAAACTAAAAATAAGATTTAATTATAAGTATTAAAGTTATTAGTTATATTTAGTTTAGGTACCTTAATTAGTAATAAAGAATAAATATTATTATTCTAAGAGTACAGCAATAAAGTAGACAAATCTAAGAAGGTATTTTACATTAAGGCGCGGAGGCAGGTAAATTAGTTAACGGGCCTCGCTTGTATGTATGTATGTATGTATGTAAGATGGCGGATCTGTCGTGCCGCGGAGGAAAGTTTTCTGCGGGTGAGATAGGGTCGTTGGTATTTGTGAGATATCGTGGATGCACTGGAAGTCTGTATCAAAGTATTTGACTCATCACCGATTACGCACTTTCCAAAGAAGATGTTCTGAAGATGTTCCACGATCATTGACTAGCATTCGCGAAAGATCTGTACTCATATCCGCAACTCCTCGCTCTCTGCCTTCTCTCCCTCTTTCTTCAGCATGATGATGTTACAAACAACGAAACTATGATAGCCAAAATACCATTCCAGCTACCAGAAAACAAAACTCCCAAATGATGCAAAATCTCCCGCTCATCCGTTTTTTCTGTAATGCGCTCGAGAACCAAGAAAGGGTTTGTTTTGTCCTTGGGGTATCGTAAAATGCCTTAGCAACCTCTGTATGGGCGGGGCGGGCATATAACAAACAAGCAAAAACGCCGCGCAATGCACAATTTCTCCCTCTGGGTCCCAAATATCGAAGAATTACAATGAAATGAAATGAAGTAAAAGGTGAAGTTGAGTTGTTCTTGAAGTTGATGTTGATGAAAGTTGTTGGTTTCAAGTGTCGAGTCCCCTCCTCATCCACGCCAAACTCGTAAGTGCTGATGCTGAAATAATAGGGCGCGTCTAACGCCTCCTCTTGGTATCTCCATGGGCTTGATCCTGGGGATCGCGTCCCCTCTTGCGTGCTTCGTCTCCCTGGCTGCTTCCTCCGCCGCCACCACGGCTCCTCCGATCCGAGCGTCCTTCTTCCCTAGCGCCTGAAGAGCGTCCGTCGTCTCGGGAGCCACGCTCGCGTCTGCTGCTTTCGCGAGGCTCGCGTCCTGATCTCGGTTCGCCGTCTCGTTCGCCGCGTTCGCGACGGCTGCTTTCTCGGTTGCTGCCGTGTTTCTCGCGGCCGCGGTCGGAGCCACGTTCGCCCTCTGCGCGTTCAGAAGGGGCAGTGCGGCTGCTTCGCTCTTCGGGATGGCGTCCGGATCGATCGGGTGAGCGCTCGCGACCTGATCGGTGTCGATGACTGCGAGATTCCGAACGGCCTTCTTCTTGTGGAGCGCCCTCCATCCGGCTCGGTACATCGTCGTTTCGACTGCTCCTCGGGTGCTGGTTGGGCGTTGAGTCAAGCGAGGGCGGTGGCATTGGGCTCGTCATGTCTGATCCGTCCATTGGGCCGTTGGCGCGAGTAGCACCGCGACCCCGCACCGGAGGGTTGGAATGAGGTGCATTGCGTTCGCTTGATCGATCGGCAGGCGCGTTTCCAGTCAATACGTTGTTGATCGCACGTAGTGGGTTGCCGGCATTCCTAGGTCCTCCAGGACCTGTGGGAGGTCGCGGACCAACTGGTGATGATGGGATAGGACCTTGAGGAGCACGACCCCCGTTACGCGGACCGCTTGGAGCGTTCGGCATATTGGTCTGAAGTGGTGGCCCGCTTGGTGCTCTGCCCTCGATGTGTGCCAGCCTACTAGGATGGATGCCTGCTGGTAGTGATGCTGCGGGGCCGGTGGGTGCACTCGGTGTTGAAGGCTGCGATGTTCGATCGCTGCGTGGGCCAGACGGCGGCGGCGCCGGCTCTGCAGGCTGGTTCAGCCGGCCATAGTTGGGGTCTTGTGCCCGTGGTCCAGGTGTAGGCTGGAACATCTCCCGCGAGGCCCGGGATGTTGCAGCGGCTTCGTTGCGACCACCACGCGGACCGGTTGGAGCACTGGCTCCTGGATCCTCACGGTGGTTTCGCCCACTAGAGGGTGGCATCTGAGGACGCTCATCCCGAGGATCCCGTGGCGCATCATTCCGACCATGATATCCAGGAGGAGGGCGTTCGTCGAGTCGACGGTCATCACCGCGTCTATCATCGCTATGACGAGGCGAGTTCAAACGAGCATCTCGCTCGCCGCGGTTGTCGCGGTCAGACCTCGGTGGTCCATGTCTGCCATGTTCTGCTTGATTGATCAAGGCAGCACGCGCTGGGTTGACTGTAGGTTCTTCTTTGGCTGCGACTGGCACCGGTGGGAGTCGCGAAGACCTGTCGTTCTGTTCCGCAGCATACGGGGCGTTGACCGGGGGACCATCTCGGCGGTACTCGTTGGCCAATGATGAAGTAGACGGCATCCTGCGAGGCTCCGTTGCTGCAGGTGCAGGATAACCTCGGGGATCAGAACGCTCACGTGAATCCCGCGCATCGTAAGGGTCTCTTGGATCCCATGTGGGCGGTCGTACCGCAGGCGCTCGCCCATCTCGCGGAGGTGCTCGCATAGCCCGCTCGTCGTAATCGTAATCGCGTTCTCTGCCAGACCATTCGCGATGCTCGGCCGCTGGCGGCATCCTCTCGGGTGTTCTGCCACCAGGTAGCGGTCGCCCACCGCGCCGACCTGGCGATGCCTCACGCTGACGTGCAGCATCCGCCGTACGATCTAGTCGGCCATATTCGGCTGGGGGACCCCGACTGTCATATCGACCATGCGCGGCCTCTGGCGTACGGTCGACCATGGGGCGTTCCGATTGTCGTGTCCTCGGTTGCGAGTCTGGTCGTGTTGGCAGTGCGTGCGTTCTACTGACTGGGGTGTTGTGACCAGGCGTGTTTCTATTATCTGGTCGCAGCGGAACAGACGATGGATGCATCGGAGGGCCCTTGATTGGAGGCCTGCCAGAACCTGTCTCCGGTTGTGATGGCGTGGAAGGCCTACTGTCGGAGGCTTTTGGCGTTGGCCTGAATGGCTCTCTGTCTCTCGAAGGCGCAGGTGTTGTGCTATCATGCTTCGACCTGTCGTTTGATTCGCGTAGTGGGGTACCGTTTCTGGAAGACGTCGATCAGTTTCACCGTTGGTAATGTGGGCGCAATTTGTTAACTTACGTTTCGGGCTTCGGCTTGAAAGCAGGCGCAGATGCGTCGAGCTTTGTGTCCTGTGGCTGTGGAGTCTTACCCTTCTCCACTGTCGACTTCTCACTTCCATTTGTCGGTAGTCCAGGGGGCGCCGGTACCTGAGGCGTATTAGTTCGCTGTCGTGGACGTGTCGATGGAGATGAACTCACGTTGCGGAAGACATGGTCCTCCTGCCAGAGCTTCTCTCCTTTGAGGATGGGACCAAGAACAGATTCCAAAGCCCTCTTAAGATCCTGCCTCTCCTCTGCCTCCTTCAAGTGAGCAACCGTCTCCTTCAGCTCTGTGCCCAAGCTCTTCACTCTAGGGAAATTGGTACCCAGCGCGTGAAGGACGTTGATGGCATTACGCATCTGCATATAGTCCCCGCTCTCCAGACATGTCTTGAGCGCAGCCGCGAGTGCCTTATGCCACTTAAACAAGACCATGCAAAACTGATCGTACGTGAAGAAGCTCGTCGGGTTCCGTTCTCCGTCGTAGCCCCTGCCGAAGCCAGGAAGGTTCTTCTCTGAACCTTGGGCGCGCTTGACAAAAGCATCATCTTTGTTCTCCTGCCAAATTTGCAGCTCACGCAGAATGCCACCGAGGAAACGACCAAAAGATGAGGACTCTGCTTCGGTGTACATGCTGATGATGGACGTAAGTCTGTTGGCGTTGAAGAGCATATCCAGTAATCTGCTCATGCGGAATCCCGGCACGCCTGAGCTGTGCATGAAAATGAGCATGGAGAACGCATACTGTGCGTCTTCTTGAGATATGCGACTGCGAGGAATGAAGCAATCCTGGAGAAGAGCGTTGTGCAGGAGGTCACACTGCGGACCCATCATTGGAATACCCTCGAACCATCGGCGCAACTCAACGCGGAGACTATCCTGCGTCGCAGCGTGGTTCTTAGTGACAGTTTGCTGCTCTTCCTTGAGCCTGGCAATGTTCTCCTTGATACTCTTCGTTGCTTCGGAATCAGCTTTGGGTACGTTGGGTCGGTAGCCGCGGCGCTCGGGAACAGGGGCGGGCAGCTGTCGCTCCAAGTTTTCGATCGACTCCTTGTATAGCTGCTTGATGCTCTCGGCATCAGCGACAACGTCTGGCAGAGACAACTGCCAGAAGGTGACGTAGTAGGACAGGCAAGGGTAGTCGCCAAAAGCGTCGGGTAGCTGTTGCTTGAGCTGGCTCGCAAGACCTTCAATCTCCGCGTTTGGTACATCGGCCAAAGACAGCTTATCTGAGGTAGCGAAAGTAGACTCTCCAGGCGCTGCGGAGTCTTTCATTTCCACGTCTTCGGTTGCTTTCGATGCCTCTTGCTCTCCGTTCACGGCGGGCGCCTCTTCCACACCACTCATGGCAATATCGCCATTCGTCTGCGCATCGAGGACTAACTTCGAGCGTTGCTCAACCCGGAAGGCATTAGCCTTGGCTGCTATGCTCGTACGAGCGATGGTGAAAGCGACATCTGGCGCGATGTGGTAGTCCGCTATCATCTCTACCAGAGAAGGGAAAACAGCGTCAAAGTCATCCACAGAGAGGTATGTTCGGAGGAGCTCCATATACTGGAGCATGTCGGAGCGCAACTTGTCGACGGTGAAGAGTACAGGCTTGTCGGGTACATCGAGCTGGTCGTTGCGGTGAATGTACGCCTCTACGTGCTGCGCAAGCGCGATGAGAATTTGTGGTCCCAGGCCCGTCTCTTTTAGACACCTGACCAGACGCCTTGCTGAAGGAGCAGCCTGGGTACGGTTGTCGGCTAGGCGATACTGCAAAGTGAAAGTGCGGAGCGCAGGGCCTGCACAAAGCGCCAGAGCCATCGACTCCGAGACGGATCCACTAAGGCTGATGCCACCCATGGACTTGACCATCTGCTCGAGAACGTCCAACATGTACAGCTCGCCTTGGGCGTTCAGAAGTTGGTGTGTCGTGAGCTGCAGAATTGGAACAGGATCCATCAAGTTGTATCTTGCGTAAGCTTTACCGACAAAGGTAGCAATGTTTTTCAGCCACGGTGCAGACAGCATGCCATCTTCCTGATTTGACTCTTTATCAGGGCTCAGAAGGTATGTAACCAGGGTCCAGGTCAGGACGTCGTATCCAAGTAAGGTAAGATACCTGCTGCACTCTACCAAAGCAGTGATCATGTTGGGATAGTTGACCAACTGCTTGACTGTGGTCCTGAAGACGATTCCGGGACTGGCATACGAGATCTTGGCAATTTTACGACCGTACTCTTTGGTGTTGGTGGCGGAAACGCGACTCAGGGTCTTCCTGGTTTCGACTTCGACTTGCTTGAAAGCTGTCTTGATTACCGGCTTGAGCATTCCGTTGAACCACTGCTGATAGATAGTATACCGAGTGGCTGTGTCGAAATGTCTGAACAAATCCCAAGCCTCATTGATGACTCCAGGATTCCTGCCGGTGAAGGTGATTGCGGGTGCAATGAAGGCTGCTGAAAAGTCGACCCATCGCTTTCGATTCGCTTCGGAGGGATTGTCCGCTAGGTTCTTCTTTCCGATACGTATGATCTTGGTCAGGAGAACACTGTCCTTGCCGCACTCTGGTCCCACCAAACCTAGGAGGCTGGTGCAGAGCTTGATCACATCGTCTACCTCTTGGCACACGGGAACGCTGTCGACCCAGTCTTCCCAATAGAACTTGTAGTCAATTCCCCCATCTTGATCCTTCTTGTCGGGCTTGGCCCATCGTAGAGTTCGTCGAGGAACGTAATCGCTTGGCCTCATAATACCCCGGTTGCCAGCACCCTTGGTGGCGATGACGGTTTCTTCGGCTACGGCTGGCCTGGATTCCTCGTAAACCTTGCTCAGAGAGTGGTGCGCCAGACGGAAGATAAGGTCCAGCAACTCGGGGTAAACATCGAGCATCCAAGGATGCCGTCCAAGGATGAACAGAGCTTCCGGTAGTGCGCCGATGCACAGTAAACTCTTCAAGAGGGTGAACTTCTGGTCCTTGGGCTCGGGTAGGGCCTTCTTCTTATCAGTGGGCTCGTCAGACTTGGTAGGCGTGCTTCGTGCAGTATCCGACTTAGACCTGCTCTCAGCATCTCTGAGACGAGAAACAGCTGGCGGGCCGGGGGTCTCGTCGGGCAGTGCGCCGGCCATTGTCAGCGCATTGGCGACTGCACCTCGTTCACTGTCTTCCTTCTCTTTCTTGGCCTTGAGGAGCTTATCCTTGTGTGCAGCCATGTCTTCCTCGAGAGGATACAGATGTGGGTAGAGATCCAGCATGGAAATGAAGCCAATCTTGATCAGAAGCGCAATCAGATACATGAGGTTCTCGGGGAGTTCGTCGGAGGCATCGCGGACATCGGATGCGTAGAACTGGAGCTTGAAGCCAAGCAGTTGAGCGGCGATGCTGTTTCCTGAGGGAGGGAGTGTCTTGGTCTGCTCCATCCACTCGTCGGCCCATTTCCGAGCTGCCTGCTGATTCGACAGCGTCGCGCCCTCTGCGGGTAATGTCTGGTCCGGCTGCCGGTTGTTCGCAGTGATACGACGGCTTCCAAGCTCAAAGTATGCCTGGATGCCTGCCCTGTCACCCAACTCGCCAACACGCTGCCAGAATTTGCGATCGCGCGACTCTCGTAGCCGTGATTGTTCATCCTTCTCTTCGTCGGTGTAGTACCACTGTTTCGCATCGGGTCGTGCCCATTGAGGAAGTGTGGGTACTTCGGCCTCGTCCCAGGTAATGTTGTCGAAACCACGTAGCTCAGGCCACCATGCGCTCGTTCGCAACAGCTTGACGAAGAACCTGCCGTGCTTGACAAGAAGGTTTGCAAACACATCCAGTGTCACGTCGAGGACTCTTCCAATGTCTAGATCGAATGCGCCGATAAAGGCATTCACCCGTTGCCAGGTCTCGGCGACGACTTCTTGTGTAGGCGGTTCGTTGTTCACGGTGGTGAAGTACTCGGTCATGAGCTTGGAGTAGCCCTCGGTCTCTTCGCGTAGGAGGTTGTAGTTGGACTGCCGGTACAGGGCGTGGGTTGCTTTGCGAACGGCCATCTTGGAGAAGCTATCGCGGACGAGGCCTAGGGACTTCAAGAGGTCGTTTTCCAGCTCGGCTCGCATGCGCGCAGGCTCAATGTCGGTCGCGACAAGCATTTGCCGTACGGGCGCGTGTTTGCTCTCATCCTGCGTGAGCGTGCTGAGCGTGCCCAGCGTGTCGAGAAACGTCGAGACTGGGTCGAGCTGGTCGTCAGCTGGGGCGGAGGTGATGTCGCGTACTATGGATCCCAGTTCACCAGCGTCTAGCAGCTGGTGCATAGACGCCTCGATGATTTCAGTGAATATGACCGAGAGGGTGAGTCGGTCGCCTGCACCCTGGGCAGCCACAGCAGCCGTCACCACAGCGTCGCGTGCCTGGCCATTCCAGTGAGCGACGCGGTCTGGTGTCAGGAACTCATTGCTGTTTGGCACCTCACGCGGTGTAGAAGGCGTCGAGGGCTGTGACGGAGTGGGCGCTGGAGCAGGAGTGGATGGTGCGGCCTGAGGTTGCCGACTCAATGGGAATGTGTTTGCGGGTGGAGACATGGCAGTTGGCGATGGGTGTGAGACATTCGGACTTTGCGGAACACTCGAGTTGCCGCCGCGTCCATTGTTTCTGCTCTGACGCCTGCCACCACCGCCGCCGCCGCGCGGGCTGTTGGCTTGCTGCTGCTGGCCGTGCGAGAGTCCGAGGTTTTGGGGGCGATGCGGCGACGGTCGTCCGCTGCGGTCGTCGTCCTGGGAGTAAGTGCGGTCGCCCCGCTTGCGCTTGGGTGGAGGAGGCATGATGGCACCCTCTTACGATCGAGAGACCGGCGCGAAAAGAGAGTCGATGCAATGTGTGGAGAGCATGCGGCGCTGGCTCGCGAATGGGCCGGGGTGTCGGTGGTGGATAGGCGCGCGCCGCAGTCGACAATTAGGGTAGGGACTGGATGAGGCGGCAGGTTGATGGATCGTTGGCAGCGCCAAATCGGGGAGTCGCGTTGGGGCGGGCGCGGGTTGATGATGGAGCGTGTCTCGATTTCGTGAGGCTCAAACCCTGGGAGCTCTACTAGCGCAATGGCTGACGTGAACCCAAGGCTGCAACCGTGCATTCCCCATCCGTCCTCCACCAGACAATAGCAAGACACGTTTTCACTCTCACTTCAGACTACAATGGCAAGAATTGGTTGTACAATCTCGTTAATCAGTCAATGATATCTGACGTATTAATCATAATCACAATAGAAATATACGAGACTCAAGCATCACGGCAACATGCATTATGACGATGTACTTGGGCAGACGGATGATGAATAGATTTCGCTGCGCTGTTAACGCGTCGTCCAACTACATAGGTCTCAAATAACAGAACGAGCGACCAGACCTCCCCAGCAATTGCTTGATTCAGATGCCTAAGCCGCAGCAGCTACAGCCTGGGCCGTAGCCTTGCGCTCATTCTCAAGCACAGCCTCGAGAATTCCGGTCGCACCCTGGCCAGACTTCATCTCGTTGATAACGTCGGTCAGACCGAGCTGCTCGTCCGTCCAGAGAGGAGCTACTTCCTCCTTGCCAGCCTCACCGACGCCGATGAAACCGCCCTCGGCAGCCCATTCACTTGTGCGCTTGATGCCCAGCTGGTTCCAGACAGCGTCGACGGCCTCGACTAGGTGGTCGCGGTACTCACGGATGTGGCCTGGGGTAGGCGTAATGCGCAGGCGCTCTTGGCCGACAGGAACGGTAGGGTAGTTGATGGCCTGGACGTAGATGCCCCAGTCTTCCATAAGCATGTCGGACGCCTTCCTGGCTACTTCGGCGTTTCCGACAAGGACCGGAATGATGTGGCTAGGGTTCGGGATAACGGGAATGTTCTTTTCGTTCAATGCATCCTTGACTGCACGAGTGTGCAGTTGCTGCAGGCGTCGATCGCCCTGGTAGTTGGCCTGGTATTCGATGGCGGTCTTGGCACCTGCCATGGTCGCGGGCGGGAGCGAAGTAGTGAAGATGAAGCCAGGAGCGAGCGAGCGAATGGTGTCGACGAGTTTGGTAGAGCCAGCAATGTAGCCACCAACGCAGCCGTATGCTTTTCCGAGAGTGCCAGTGATGATGTCTACGCGGTCCTGAACGGTGCCTTGGGGTCTGCCTGCCTTGTGGGCTTCAAAGTCGAGATGCTCAGCAACACCGGCGCCGTGTGGTCCGTACATGCCTACAGCATGGACTTCATCCAAAAAGGTGATGGCTCCGTACTTTTCAGCGAGATCACAGATTCCTTCAATGGGACCAATCGAGCCGCACATGCTGTACACACTCTCAAATGCGATGATCTTGGGGTATTCGGAAGGAATCGATTGCAGCTTCGCCTCAAGATCTGCGAGATCGTTGTGCTTGAAGACCATCTTCTTCGCGCCCGAATGGCGGATGCCTTGGATCATAGATGCGTGGTTCAAGCTGTCCGAGAGAATGACGCAATTGGGCAGCTTGCTTCCGAGAGTCGCAAGCGTCGCATCGTTGGCTACATAGCAGGATGAAAAGACAAGCGCAGCCTCCTTGGAGTGAAGCTTCGCGACCGTGTCTTCCAATGCTACAGCGTGCTGGTTGTGTCCGGAGATGTTCCTGGTACCTCCGGCGCCAGCTCCGTAGTTGTCCAGGGTCTCGTGCATCGACTTGAGGACGTGCGGGTTGCGGCCCATGCCGAGGTAGTCGTTGGAGCACCAAACCGTCACCTTGTCCTCGGGGGACTCCTTGTGGGCGCGCGGGAACTCCTTGGCCAGGCGGTTGATGTTGTTGAAGTAGCGGTACGACTTGTCCTTGTGCTTCTTGTCCAGCTCATTGTGGTAGAAGCCTTCGTAATCGAACGTAGCGGCTTGTGGGGCGGATGCGGATGCGACATTCGAGGGCTTAGTGTTCGCAGGCTTCAGGGCTGCGTGCGGGAACGGTGGTCCTGGGCGATGTTAGCCTACAATTCGACATTTTCTGCTACGTTCAAGACGCGGTCTTTCTGCTTCGTGGGAATTTCGTACCCTGCTTGCCTCTCAGGCTCTCAAGATCCACAGCCTGGGCTTCCTTGGACGCCGTCGTGTGCAGCCTGGCGCGGTTCACGCGGGTGTGGTAAGCACGCACACCGCCGAAAGCGCCGGCAAGAGCGTTGTTGCCATTGCGGGAGCTCTGGACGGCAAGCGCCTTGCCCATGATGGGGCAGCGACGAGCGATGACCTGGAGGTTGGACATGCTTCCAGCGCCGGGGGAGACCTCCTGGCGGGCGGCCGCCGTGGTCGTGGTAGAGAGGGAGCGGAGCGTGGCGGGTGACGTCTTGTGTAAGAACGGGCACATGGACTTCGACTGGCGCAAAAGAGCCTCCATGTTGGTCAAATGCGCGGCGTGTATGGGTTTTGGGTGTGTTGTAGATGTGCGGGCAGATTGGGTGTAAGGCGAGGTGAGGAAGAGTGCGAGAGGGAAAGATGGTTGGAAAATGTGTCAAAGATGCGACTACATGAATTACATGCGGTAATAGCGCGGAATCTAGCATGCCGGGCGTCGGCATCAAATGCAATCGTCATGATTGGCCCACCCATATTAGCTTGCAGAGCTGCCGACGCCATCTTCATCAGCGGTACGGTACTCCGGAGAGTAATTACTCGGATAGTTCCATGGTTGGCACTGCGCCTGCGAAGGGTCCTGGGTCTGGCTCACACTGTAACTCGACAGCACCCGCAGTGCCGCCTGTCAGCCCCTTCATGATACCTCTAATACAATTCCACGCTTTGCATCAAGTTGCCACCTTTGTTCACCTTACTGCAGAAACCTGGTCGTGTTCCAACTCAATCGTACAACATGTCAACTTCAACTACTCAGGTGTAGTCTGTGATCTTAGCGTACCCCGCCTTTTGCCCGGCGACCTGGCCTCTACCCTCTAACTCGGAGCCGCCACCGTCCCATTTCGTGAGGTTGATCTCTACGATTCCAAGAGGATCTGCAATCCATAGGCCTGGATAGTATGTCTCTCCAAAACTTTCGTCTGCATACCTCGGCCTGCACTCAGTCATGGTCGTGCTTAGCGTACAGTGCGGAACTGGAAAGTCTTGCCGAAATACGCCGCACGTGGTTCGATAATCCCACTCTTCGGCATCTTTGCTTGAGCCAACATTTCATAAGCAGCCTGTCAGACCTGAGGCCTAGGCCTTCCTACAAAACGGCCTTTTCTGGATAACAAGTGTTTGACAAAAGATGCCGCTGGTTCAGTCATCGTCGGAAATCTCGATGATCTCGGCCTGAGATGGCTGGTGAGGATGCTGCAGAGCCTTTTCGCTGAATGTCGTCCCCATAATCGTATACACATAGTCGTAAAATGTGCTTGTCTCAGCGGCCCCGCTATCCATACATTTCCTGAGCTCTTCAAGATCTTTCTTGGATGCATTGGGTTCTCGGGAGTAGTTGCTACAGAACCACCAAGACAGGAACAGCTTCGTGAACGTGAGAATTTTTGGCATATCTCGAGGAAGGACGCCCTGTAGCTTCTTTTCTCTTCTGTATAACATGCCGATGCACGCCCGGATCTCTTTGATCAGATTCGTCTTTCCAACAAGCCGAATTCGATTACGAATAACTTCGCGATCGTTGAACTTCATTTCTTGGATGACTTTGGAGACCACGCGCTTGCGGTCAAGATGCTCGACCAAATCTTCCCATTTCCAGCGGCGAACTGTGGCGATCGAGGCGTTCTCAGGCGCATCTCCATGGTTGATAGGTGTACGGGTAGACAAGCCGTCTGGCTCAAGAAGCCCTGGGTGCGCATACATGATTGGCTCTACGCTGTCAGCGATGACTGAGTCTCGTGTCGATGATCGCGTCAAGTCTTCGAGCTGGTCTTCGACTGGATCAACTTCAGCACCGAGGTTCTTTCTCGATAGCAATGCATTTCCATCTTCAATGTCTGACGAATCTGGGGGTGAACCCAAATCAATGATCTCATTTCCCGGCTCTACTTGAAGAGATGATGCAGCCGGTGGTATATCCGGCTGGTCGCGCATCGCGGTGTCTTGATCGTCGGGTACTTGCTCTTCATCGCTGTCGTCAACAGGTTCCAACTTGTAGATGTCGCGTAACCAGGCTGCAAATTCCATGGAGTCGACCGTGACCTCGAGGTTGCTGCATTGTCGCCGTACTTGCTCCTGCAGTATGTCACCGTTAGTGAAGATGTCATATATACCGTCAGGGTGTTATTGCTCACCGCATTGCTTCCAGGAAATTTGACGATCTGGTCGCACAATTCATCCAGTCTTGACTTATAATAGTTGAGCTCTGTCTCGTATCTCTGCGCCAGCACTTCTCGCTCTCCTTTAGCCTCTGCTTCGGTCCACATGGCGACTGGGTCGTAGTCCACCTCCTCGCCGCGAGCAACACCCTTGTTCGGCTTCCAGGCATCTGTGAAGGACTTGATTCGCTCGTTGATTATGTCGACAATCTTGTCCTGACTCAACTTGGTCCGCTTGCTCGGTTCTTCAACTGCGTTCTCAACCTCATCGTCGACTGATCGAGAGTCCTCCTCAGCAGCATCCCCCAGCCCGGAATTATCATCCTCTTGTAGGTCGTCCTCGTCAGGCAAGTCTATGATCTGGTCACCTCCTGCCACGTTCTGCCATCTGAGTAGGTGAGCATAGTCGTCCATGTTTGATAGCGCTGGACATGAGAGCCCGGTGGCTGCCGTGTTTGATGTTTGGTGATGGCGAGAGATGCGAGATGCTTGCTACAGCAAGTTGCGGATTGGACGCGGCGCAGAAGGTGGGGCACCCGTCTAGGCAAGTGCGCGC